CCATCTCCATCTCCATCTCCATCTCCATCTCCATCTCCATCCTGACCTTCCTCCTAACCCTCATTCTTCCGCTTCAGCCTTTCTTGATGGACCGTTTCTTGATGGACTCTTCTGGAAGGGAGAGTGTCCTGTCCCCTCCTGTCCCCAGCACTGATGCAGCAGAGCCTTTCCAGTGTTTCTATCCGTGCTCATGGTGCCCGTCTTCTGGTCACTTGGAGCAAACTTCTGCCATGATTTGTGACTGCCCCTCTCCCCCTTACACTTCCTTCTCCCTTTTGCTTTCACCAAACTGGGTGGATCCCTTATCCACAGCTTCTCCCCTAGCCCCCTTCTTCCAGCCCTGTGGTTCCTCATCTTCCAGGAGCCGAGCCGCTGTGTGCGAGCACGGGCCCCACTGGTCCGTCCCCCCAGGAGCCCCGCAGTCTCCCCGGCTCTCCAGATGCTCTTCCAGCCGCCTCTCCCCCGCCTTCCCGCGCAAACCCAGAGAGCCTGGCTGTCTGCTGTCTCCCACCTCTGACCTGCCCTCCCTTCTCTTGGCTCAAATCCTCCTCCTTAGATTTTCCTTCCTGTACAAAATGTGTAGAAGAACAGGAAGTAATTTTTTTCTCTGATTCCCTTAGATTCTGGCCGTTTTTCCTCAGGGAGACTTTTTGTTGACCGCCCCGTCCCATAGGTCTTGCGCCTGCTCCCGTCTGTCGCGCCCGGTGGAAACTCACGGGTGGCAAGGGCGCTCTTCACCCGGACCCCACGGCCTCTGCTGTGCGCTCAGGGCTCCCGACCCCCGCTTGTTGGCAGGGCGGTTTTACATCGGCGGGGGGGGGTCAGCTCCTTTCTTAGAGCAAGAGAGTTGGTTGGGAAGTGATCATACTGCTATTTTGAGTGAAGGGAAACCTAAAAGAGAGACAGTAGATGATTTTCTGAGGAAATGATTGGAGGAAAGTCTTCCCTAACTGGGAATGTAGTATATGACAATAGGGAATGATGAAAATAATTGTTGTGTTAGTGGGCGGCGTAGCGAGCTTGTTGGCCAAGAGCTTGTTCTTGGCTTATTTAATCCTTCTGAGCCCCTATCCTGACTTGTAAGGGGGGGCAGTATTGTGTCTACTTCATGGAGTTATGAGCACTTAAGTGAATTAAGAAAGCACTGACTTGTTCGCACAGTTCCCCTTCAATGAGTGGTACCGTCATTTTTCTTTTCCTGTCGTAAAGGATGTACCACAAAGGTACCTTTCACTGGAGAGGCAGCTCTAGTATGGTGACCAGGAGCTGTCTGGCGCTCAGCTGGGGAATCCAGAAGTGGAGCTCACTGACTAGGATATTCCAGTTGCCTGGAAAACGCATGCTGGGCACCTCCCGTGCGGGGATCGCGGTGGACCCTCAGGCTAGCAGGGTGAACGAGACGTCTGCAGTCCCGCAGGAACTGATGTGTGAAGCTGTGGACAAGTTAGAGGAAGAGAAGGGGAGGGAGGACTTCAGGGAGAGGTTTTGTCCTGATGTAAGGAGACTTGCTAAGTTGCTTTTGCAAGATTGAGGAGGAAGTTCGGAGGTGTTGCGGTGCCCGTGGGGGGTCTGGGTGACAAGGGGCCCCGCCTGCAGACACAGGATGCTGTGTTAGCGAGACCAGAGTGAGTTCGGTCCCTGGAGCCCGTGTAGTCCATGGCCATGAACCATGTTAACCCTTAACCCTGGTGCTGCTCCAGCTTGGCCTCCTGCAAGACCATGTCTTCCCCTGTGTTTGCCCCACTGATGGGGCGAGAGCACCATCTTTTTATTACTGGAGGGTTCCCGAAGAATCCATGCACAAACTAGGGATGCTGGGAAAATACTAAGTGGACTCACAGAAATTAAACCTCACACGTTCACGGTCATCTCTGCATCTCCAGCCCAAATCCAGTTTCCATGTTTAAGATGAATTAACCCTCTCTGCTAAGTGGGAAAGAGCATGCGAGGCTTTCCTTCCCGGGGATGATTGGGAGAGGAATTTAGACAAAAATCTCAGGGAGGACAAATCTTGCACAGAGCTTGCTGAGGGATTGGTGTAACTAGACTGAAAATGCTCCCCTTTTCTTCTCACAGGGGAAAGTGGAAGTAGAAGCTGGGAAGGAAGGTATGAAATTCGAAGCCAGTGCTTTCTCCTACTACGGTGTGATGGCTCTCACAGCCTCTCCAGGTGAGCGTCCCTCCTCCGCCCGTCGGGGCAGGGCTGGGTTTTAGGACAGAGCGCCCTTCCACGGTCACCTTTCTGTACCGGCCAGCTAGCCCTGTTTATCTAGGTCTTGACCTTTTTATTGAAGCATATCATGTATACCAGAACCCCCCCACCCGCCCAAATCATAAGCCTGTGCCCCCATGAACTTTCACACAGCCAAGGCTCCCGTGTGAGGTGGCACCCAGTTCAAGAGACAGATGTCACCGACCCCACTGCCACCACACTCTGTCACTGTCCCCCAGACTGCTGCCTTGACTTCTAAGCGTAGACTAGTTTTGTCTGTTTTTGAACTTGGTATAAATGGGCTGACACGGGATGTATTCTCTCGAGTCTGGCTCCTCCCACCCAGTGTTGTCCTTGTCACATTCGTCACTATTGCTGTGTGTGCTCGGACCTTCTCGTTGCTGTGCAGTGTTGCGTTGTGTGCATACACAGCAGTGTACTTTGTTCGCTGCTGGTGGACACGGGGGTCGTGTCCTGCTGGGGGCTGCCATGCGTTGTGGGGCTGTGCACGTCTTGGGCGAGCGTGCGGGCGTCTCTGCTGGGCGTGTGTGTGGGAGCGGCGCCCGCGGCTCCCGGCCCTGCCGCCTGCCTCGGTGGCCGGGGCGGTGCACCCTCCTGCCTCTGCTGACGGGGGTTACAGTGGCTCGACACCCACCGCTAGATGTTGTCGAGTCTTTTAAATGTCCACTGTCCTGGAGGTTTTTAAATTTGCATTGTCCTGAGGATGAACGAGGTTGCTAATAGATACTTATTGCCGATAGCCAGCTCTTCTTGTCTAGGCAGCTGGTCAGGTGAGTCTGCCAGCTAAGGGCGGCTGTGCCCTAGGTGTCGGCTCGCTGTTCTGAGCCCCAGATGCCGGCAGGTGGTATCTGGTAGGAACACGGAGCACAGATAGCTTGCTTTGCAGTGGGTTTGTGACCAGGGCCGACAGGTAAACAGAGGTGCTGCAATGCCACCTTGTGGCCGCAGAGCCAAATGACATGCTGTGCTAGGAAACTTACAAACCCCAAACTTCAAAGTAGCCCATCCTAAAACAACCTAGGCCGCTTCTGGAAACTAGTCTCAAAAGGGGAGGGGATACCTCCAGACCCATCTGTTTTTGTGACCTTAGTCTTCATCTGCCGCGCCACACACTGTCCCGGGCACCCAAAGATGTTACTACAGTTAGGAAGCCAAGGAAATGTTCAGGATTCTCTTCACGCACCTCAGCCTCCCCTGCCCCAGACGCATCTTCTCAGTATCCTGCTGTGGGGTTTTCAGCCACGTCGGCCAGCCTCCCCATTGCCAATGCGGACTAACACCAGTGTGAACATGGGCCTGTCTAACCCCACTTAATTGTGACTGCTATAAACTTGAAGGTGGTCCGCTCTCGATGCTCCCGAGGAGGCAGGGAGGTTCCTAACTAGTCTGGGAGGCCCTGGGCCACAGCTGCAGTTTCACTGCATATGGTGGGCTGCCTTTGAGAAAGGTCTTGGTTTCCTCCTTATTAAAAGGACATAATAAGGTTACCTCGTGTGATTGTTAGAAGAATAGAATGTGATGATACTTATCCATGCGAGTGCTTTGTAAGCTTGAGAGCACAGAGGAAATGTCGGTGTGAGAGCTGGGTGTTGACCTTGTGACTGCTGTTGGGCAGCCAGCCTCGAATTAGCCCCAGGTTAGCAGAGTCAGATTCAGAAGGTGGCTTTGAAAAGAAAGTTACAAGAGTAAGGATACAATCGTACCAATCACTGATTCTTGAAACCTAAACATTAGCCCGATTTATATGAACTGTGGGTTCATGTAAAGGCAAATCCTATTCAGAAAAGGAGCTGAGGAGCAGGCCTCCCATAGAGCAAGCCTGTGGGACTGCAGCGGCCTGGCCTCATTGGGAAATGCCAGGAAGGAAGGAAGGAGATCTCATTAATAGCATCTTTTTTTTTTTTAAGATTTTATTTATTTGACAGAGAGAGACACACTGAGAGAGGGAACACCAGCAGGGGGACTGGGAGAGGGAGAAACAAGCTCCTCGCTGAGCAGGGAGCCCGATGTGGGGCTCGATCCCAGAACCCTGAGATCATAACATGAGCCGAAGGCAGACGCTCAACGACTGAGCCACCCAGGCACCCGTCATTAATAGCATCTTACTTATTACAAAGCCCAGTACTTTACTTGACAAGTAGGATTTGGGATTTTGTATATTCATTGAGAGATACAGTTAGTGTCCTCAACTCAAGATAATATTTCTATTTCTTAATATTGATTGCCTAGAAAAATCCTACAGTAATCAGTTTCAAGACCTGCCCAATTGCGTGTCAATTATACTGCAATTTAAAAACAAAAAACAGAGGGGCGCCTGGGTGGCTCAGTCAGTTAAGCGTCTGCTTTCAGCTTAGGTCATGATCTCAGGGTCCTGGGATCGAGCCCCGCATCGGGCTCCCTGCTTAGTGGGGAGTCTGCTTCTCCCTTTCCCTCTGCCCCCCAGCTCGTGCTTTCTCTCTTTCTCTCTCTCTCAAATCTTGTTTAAAAAAATAAGAAAAAATAAAAAATACCCCAAAAAAACCAAAACCAAAAACAAAACCCTGCCCAAGAAATAGGACTCCTGCCAGGGAGAGCAGTGTTGATTGGACTTTTCAATCAGACGGACCTGTAGCTCTCTGGGTAGCAGTGATGAGGATGACTTTGGTCCGACATTCCCAGGAGACCTGTGCCTAATGTTCTTTATTTACTGTCCTTTAATACTTTGAACTTTCAGAGTATTCCAAAACAATTCAAAATATCAGGTCAAAATTACGAGACTAAGGATGTCTGTGAAGTGAATAACTAACTGCTTTGCCACAGGGAGGGACGCTATCGGCCCTGTTGGCGTGGGCAGCTTGGGTCATGCTCTTGGGTCAGTTGATTAATTGAGTCCCCCTTTTGTGTGGCTCGTTGTGATTTAAATCCTTAAGAAGAGCACGTTTTGAGCTATAAGCCCCAATAGAGTATTAATGGCTTAAGAGATTTCTAGGTTAGTAGAGAAGCATTTGAAGAGGATTTTTTTCTGATTTCAGCCTCCCTGTATTACTCTTCCTGGAAAGCAGTGTGTGTTCCTTTTTAAATTTCCATAATATCATATAGGCTTTTGCGTTTCTGGAATTGAATGCTCATATTAGTAGAACCGGTATCCACTCCTGTCCCCTGAGTGCAGAGATCTCCTTTCTTGCCTTTTGATATGGTCTCACCCTGTTTTTCTCCATTTTTCAGTTCCTTTGTCCCTGTCTCGTACCTTTGTTGTCAGCAGAACAGAGTTGTTAGCAGCAGGTTCTCCAGGTAACTCTGCATGTTTCCTTTTCGTAATTCTTCCGGTTGCTTCCCTTGACACCCCGCCAAAGCCTGGCCGGCCAGATCGGTTCCCTTTATGTGGTCGAGGCTGTTGGCAGTTTTTCTTGGAGGTCTCGAACTCTCCACGTGTCCACACACGGTAGTGAGCTGTCCAGGAACGGAGAAGCCCACAGCAGCCGTGGGAAGGGTTCGGGAGCCTGGCAGGCGTTGTGTGGGCGGGAGCACTGCTGACCCGCAGAAAGCGAGCGCGGTGCCGGCCTGGATCATCACTGCTCCCTGCCTGGCCCACCCACACCGCTGACCTTGGGCTTTCAGGGTAGCACAAGGGGGCTGCTCTTGGTTCTTTGACCTCAGCAAAGTCAGGGCGTGTGGAGTTTGCAGAGGCCCCAGCGTTCTCGGTTCGGTTGCTTTGGTCCTTGTCCCAGCAGCCACACGAACGGGGCACGTGCGTCCCCGCCTCCAACAGGCGGGTGGCCCTGCTTGTCCTGTCTCCTTCTCTGTTTTGAACGAGTGCTGTGCACATTCCTCCCCGGCTGCCTGCCCTGCAGGAGAGTTCGGTCATGCCTGCCTAATACGTCCAGCAGCTAAAAAGAAAGGCAGAGGTTTAATCTTTCTTTAATTAAAATTGCTGAGCTTTTGGGAGTATAGTTTTTCTGTATTTATTTCATTCCACACAGCTTATATCTTAAAATCTGATGAAATTGGCGTTTCCTAATCGAAGTTCAGCAAAACTCTCAAATGCTGATATTTAGTAAAGGAGGCAATACTTGTCCTAGAAAGAAGCTAATGTTCCCTCAGGTCTTTGCTCTGAAAAAGCTTGGGGGGTGTGGGGATAAGATCTTATTTATAGGACTGTTTGACTCAGACCAGCCGGCGGAATAAACATACCGGTGCACACAACATACATACATATGCACAGAAATATGTATTTGTGTGTCAGTATATATGTTTGTGTGTTTTCTCCCCATTTTGTTTGCCAGCATCTGCTACCTATTTAAAATACCACAAGTGCTGAACAAGAGTGACTTTAAAAAAAAAAAAAAGTGACTTTTGGATGAAGCTCACAAAATGTCATTTGTATTTTACTTTTCCCATGGAACTTAGAGATTTCTGAGCCGTGTCCACTCTATCTGTTCCTGTAATAATTAAAAAACAAAACAAAACACCATTTTGTGGGTGCAGGCCTTCAGGATGCTGGCATTATAGTAATTTGATACCAAATAAGTGGAGGTTGAACTAAACCAGTGATTTCCAGCCTATTCCAAAAGGTGCTTTGTGGCTCTGATGGAGGAGGCTGGGAGTGTTTCTTTACAGTACCTTTCTGGCTTACTCCTAAAAAGAAAGAATTCCTAGGTGAGATGACTGAAGAGCGGAAAAAAACAATGCTGAGAAGGCATAAGAGGAATTAATTAATTATCATAATTATTATAAAAATTTGGCACATAAATTTGGCCACAAAATGTGACCTGAACTGGGGGCTGGCCACTTAAAGTCTTTATTCTCCTTGGTGTGAATACTCCTGTCTCACTGCACGTCCACGAAAGGCTGGTCGTGCTGGGTCCCTGTCACACTCGCTGCTGCAGAAGGGGTTCCGGAAAACAGGGTCTGCTTTCCCACACGGCAGCCGGGACGCCAGGCAATGGGTTCCTGGCAAAGGCAAGGGCTCATCTCACAAAAAGAGATGAGAGGAAATGGACTAGGGGTTTAGATACCTTGGGGAAACCAGAGAAATTGCCCTGTAATCCTCTTGAGGAGGAAAGGAGACTCAGAAGTAGGGCCTCTGACGTCTGCCTGCCGACGCACAGTCTGATCAGGAAGCAGAGTGAACGTTTTGGTTTTTTAACTTTTAAATTATAACACCGTCTATAGAAATGGTGATGTGATTTGGGGCTAAAGCCCAGGGATACAGTGGGATCCCTCGTTTCCAAAAGAACAATTCCATCTGTCAGCCCGGGTGATCCTCTCACAAGTACAGAAAGGCTCAGACCTGAGGTTGGGCACCTGGCGGACAGGTGGGGGATGAGGCAAACAGGAAATAGAATAATGTTAACTAGGCTTATTGCTGGGGTATTTATTAGGTGTCAGGTGCTGTGCCAAGCACTTTGTACATTACCTCCTTTGGAATCCTCATCAGACTTTACGAGGCCGGGAACTATTACCCACCTTCTACAGGTAGACAGGGAATCTGAGACTTAGCAGAGTTGGGTCATCTGACCAAAGTTCCCTTCTGCTGAAGAGAAAAGGTGATAGATTACTCATTTGCCTTGTTCTGTCAGAAGAAAAGTAGAAGCAACCAGAGGAACGGCTACTCTGAGTTTAATTCTGAACAACAGAAAATCTGACAGAATTATAGGGGAAGTTGTGCTTGACAGTTTCAGGAGAAAGGGAACTGGCCATTTGGGGTTCACTGAGTACTTACCACGGTTTGTTCTGGTTGTCATATTTTAAGAGGGACATTTACTGAGTTGAAGGAATCTCAGAGGGTGGTCAGGACGGGGTAAGGGGTGACAAAACGTGATGCGAAGGATGTCGAAGCTGGACGAGAAGAGGCTGAAGGAGAACACAACTATCTTCAGACTTTTCAGGGCTCTTTCAAGTAGCAGAGGAGTGGCGGTCCCTCAGTGGAGCTCTACAGAGTGGAGGGAGAGACTGCCACGTCAGTCTGAGGGGGTGGATTTTGATGGGCGCGATGGCAGATGTGGATGAGTTGAAGGGCAGGACCAGCCGAGGGCCAGCTCCTCTGTGGAAGTATCTGTCAGGGGCATGCTGCAAAGACGGACCAGCCTGATCTCCATCAGAATTGGTCCCCTCCAGTCCTGTGACATTAACGCAGGTCAGGGCCTATCCGGTGTGAACACCCACTTTAATATTTGTGGAATAGATTTGATTGGAAAAGCAAAAATGGAGGAAGCTTTGGTGAGAGTGAGGGTGGGTTTTATTTTCAACAAAATGTACGTTAGAAGCTACAGTCACCTTGCTTTTGAGAGCAACAACACTAAACTCACTGAATTTCCTTTCACTTTGTTTTAACGAACGAATACTGTCCATCTTCTCAAAGACTCCGGCAGCACCTACGGTCCCTTAAGCCTTTTAAGAGTTTGGTGTCGTCTAGTGTTCCTGAAACACTGAGACACACTTTGGATGCCTGATGGGGATTTTACTGGGGTCAGAGACAAAGATAATAGGTTCAGCTGGGGGATATGGTATGGTATGAGCAGACAGAACTCTTTGGATCCCTTTAAAACACATATTGAAAAAAAATAAAAAAGAGAAACAAACTGAAAAAAACACATACTGATTTACAAACATTCTCAAGAGTACTTTGCTTTTGCTTCTGGCAAAATAACAAAGTGCTGCCCTCCCACGCCCCATGTTTTCTCTCTGGGAGCTTCTGTGCATTTCACGGCACTCAGGGATGCTCCTGGCCCAGGTGCGGTCAGAACCTGGGGAAGGACTGTGTGCGCATGAACAGGGCCGAGCAGGGGAACTGAACGGACCCTTTGCTGACGCCGGGGCGGGGGGGGTCCTCTAGTTGGTGAGCTGTACGACGCTCAGGCATCCGAACTGGTCTATTACTACTTTTTATTATTTAGAAAATAAAGAGCTGACTCTGTTGGTTCTATGTACCTCACTTAAAAGGTTCTGGGGTTTGCTTTTCCTTTTCTAGGTGAAAACAAGTCGCCTCCTCGCCCCTGTGGCTTGAACCACTCAGACTCTCTGAGCCGAAGTGACCGGATTGACGCCGTGACGCCGACACTGGGGAGCAGCAATAATCAGCTCAACTCTTCGTTCCTTCAAGTCTACATCCCTGACTACTCAGTGCGAGCCCTTTCTGACCTTCAGTTTGTGAAGGTAAGAGAAGAGCGTGTGGTTTGGCTGGGCCCGGCCACTGGAGGTGACCTGCCATGGCAAGCTGTCCTGCGCCCCGGCCCTGGCCTTGGGCTTTCCCCTTGTCGTTTGGGTGCCCCACCTCCAGGTCCTGTGCCCGGCCGGGACACCAGCTCGGGGAGACCATCTCTCCCTGGCTCGGGCAAAAGAGCTGCTGAGCCAGAGGTGGCTCGCTCAAGGAGTGAGAGCTGGAGACAGAAAAAGAATAAACCTTTTCCAGCAAGTCCTCATGAGCTCGTGGCTCTAGTGAGTCTGGGTGGTCCCCGAAGGGCTGAGATTGGAGACCCTGAAGACTTGCTGAGATGGGGTGGGAAGAACTCTCTGCTTCTCCTTTGCCTGAGACAGGGTTCTTTTCTTAGTCTGGAATAAAGACGTCTTTTGAACCGAAGAACGAGCCAGCTTCAGCTGATGGAAGCCTATCTCCATTTTCCAGTCTCTGTGAAATTTTGAGACAAAAACTTGGAAATGGCTTATATCAGTAAAAACTGACTTGTTTGCCAGAGTCCACTTGAACTTGAAAAGTGGCTCAGTTTATATTTGAGGATGATATTTTCCTAGAAAAACCTATGCGGGCCTTTCGGGGGACTCTAACATGTAATACAGTGTCGGGACAAGAACACCTAAAAATAAGCGTTCTCTTGGTTTGTCTTCTGTACCATCTTCTGGCCCCAGATCTCAAGACAGCAATACCAAAATGCCTTGATGGCATCCCGGATGGACAAAACTCCTCAGTCTTCAGACAGTGAAAACACTAAAATTGAATTGACTCTTACGGAGCTGCACGACGGGTTGCCAGACGAGACCGCCAACCTGCTCAATGAACAGAACTGTGTGACACACAACAAGGCCAACCACAGCCTGCACAGTGAAGGGGCCATCTAGGGCGCCCCCCGCCGACCCTCACCCCCCACTCCCAAGGCCCCAGGCCAGCTGACCGTGAATCCCATTAGTGTGAGCTTGTGTGCCATGCTGCATCCTGCAACATCCTGAGACCAAAGACTTTGTCCCCTTCCCGGAAGCAGCGGCGGAGGATGGCGAGGGCAGGAGCAGAAACTAGAGGTGTGACATCAGCAGCTAGGGCATGGCATTCAAGATTTTGGAGATGAACTTCTTCCACCCAAATAGAATCATGTTTATTTTTTCAGTTGTACCTTTTATCTTTATTCACTCTCCTCCTTCCTCAATCTGCATGAAGTTGGAAATTGTTGCGGTTTTATTTTTTTTCCCAAGAGATCATGTTTTTAAATAGTGTCTTTTGCAGAGTTTTACGTTGTTCTGTGTGAACTCTGCCGTGACTCCCTGATGTGACCCGAACCGAATGGACTCGCTCCTCCTCCCTCGGCCTTCGCGGCCCTCCTCGGGCGGGGCGCGCCTCCTCCGTGCCCAGCGGGTGTCGCTGTGGAACTTGAAGGATGAATGAAGAAAACTGCGTTGCAGACCTGCCAGGTCTGTCCCACTGTGGGGCGGGGCCTGCGCGGGGCCTGCAGTCGCCTCCGTGAGCTCAGTGTTGTTTTAAGTTAATGTTTAACCGTGTCCCTTTCCCTCAGAAAGGTTTAACATTTGCTTGGAATGTGATTTTTTGCTCCTACTCTAAGGAATTTTTATCACCAAAATGAATGTTAATGAATTTGAAGCCCATGGTTTATCATTGGCAAGAGGCAAGGTGACTTCATGGCGCCCTCCTCCAGCCTGGATTCTCCGGCCCAGCCAGGCCGCCGCCCCAGCCCAGCGCCCCAGCCTCCAGAGCGCCGCCACCCGCCTCCCCGTCCTTGCTCTCGTTAACCCAGGATGCTGCTACACAGATGCCAAATGGAAATCTTCCAGAGGGCCTTTGAGTAACCGCGTGGTGTGGAGTCGAAGCTCCTCCCCTTCCCACCGGGATGACGTAATTGTCCGGAAAGGAGCTGGGCCGCCCGCGGCGCGCTGGGCGCTGTGCCCAGAAGGCGTTGCCAGACCCAGGTGTTTAAGGGAGGGAACTCTGGGGACGGCCGGCCCCCGCCCCTCCTCCTCCCAGGGAGCTCCCTGTCCCTCTTCCCCTCTGTCCCTGGGCTCCTGGGGCCCAGCAGTGGCTGTGGTCCTCGCTCGAGGCCCTCTGCGCCTCCCGCCTCAGATGCGGCCCACGCCGGAGAGGCTGCCTGTCCAGCCCCGGGTCGGTTTGGCCCCAAACAGGGATTCAGAAACCAAATGTGTGTCGTGGCCATTTCGTGTGTGTCTCCGCCTTACTTTAATACCAAATTCATCACGTGCAGTGAAAATGTCAGGAGGTACGTCTTGAGGGATCGAGTTCTCACCGATCTTATCTGTTTTAAGTGTTAGCCCAAGGGATAGCGCGTTCTGTCGGCGATGTCCGTTCGTCCGCGAGGACTGGGCCGCGCGCTGACCGCGGTGCGCGGGGAGGATTGCTACTCCGCGCTGCCTCTAGTCGCTGGGTCGCACTGGTCGAAGGGAAGCCCCGGGCCAAGCGGCAGTTTCCTTCTCCCTCCTCAAGGTAGGAACGTGTCCCCCGGCCTGGGCTCTGGGCCGAGGGGAGCTGTGGTTGGGGAGTCACCGGCAACATGGAAAGCGGTTTGGTGGCTCCAGTGTCCCAGGCACGTTTACCACAGTATTTCCTCCGGGGTGTCCGTCCTAGAGGGTCTTCCTCGTCAGGTGCCATGCCCCTTAGTGAGGGTCATAGGGGCGCCCCCTACGCTGCTGCTGGCACCCAACCTGCCGCGAGCCCCCGCGGCTCTGTAGCTTAATGTTAGTGGGACCCCGGCCCACGAGTATCCCCTTTTATAAACAGATCCGTCCAAGTTAAAAGGTCCCGGTTTCTAAGACGCATCAAGCTGAGCACAGCCCCCTTGTGGTGTGGGAACTGGGACTGTCCCCAGGGTGCGCAGAGACGAGTTCCCCCTAAGGAAACGAACCCCGGGTCTCGCAAGGGGCGTGCCCCCCCCCACCCCCCAAGCACACTCCTACTCCGGGCCCAGACAGCGCTGGCCTTCCTGGTGGTTTGGTGGAGCCCGGCCTGCCCGGCCCTGCTTCCTCGGACTTGCAGAATCTCTGCCGCCTCAGCCTCTCCCTGCCGATCTGCTTGTCCACACGTAGCCTGTCTCAGGGTGCCTTGCTTCTGGAAGGAGCTTCTAGAATCAGCGTTAATGTGTTGGGTCTTTGTCAGAGCCCCGCCGTTCCTTTATGAAATCCTAAAGCTCTGTGAGAGCCAGCTGCTGGCTCCTTGACTTCTCACCACGATCATACCCGCTCAGCGTGGCAGCTTTTGGGGACGTCCGCGGAGCATTGCTGGCCGGGGCGGCTTTGCCGTGCGGGCTCCTACTCCGAGAGGGTGAAATTTTAGCCTCCCGAGATTGTATTTGTTTTCTCCACACCAGTCTTTACCTTGGATTATTCATATTTTATAACAACAGGGAATCAAAAATAATTCCCGGCTGTAGTTACATCTGCTTTGGGGAAAGCTCAAGACCCTTCGGATCACACTCACTGTCTTGAGTGATCAGATTCTTCTCCCAGGCCCTACTTTCCCTCTGGAAACTACCTGCAGGCTGTTGAAGGAGAAACGCTGGCTCGTGGCTTCACTGGGCAGCACAATGATTTTGGCTTAGAAGTTCTATGAAGTTAGATGTCTATAAAGGGAGTCCGCGGAGAAAGACCGTCAAACGTTTGAGATCTCCATGTGCAGCGGCCGGGTCTTAGACTTGCACGGCGGCTAGATCCTCCTCCCCTGGAGCTGCTGGCTTCGTGAGTGTGGCGGGGAGTGGGCTGTGGCGCAGACCAGGTGCTGGGGTCTTGAATGCTGCGGGAGCCCTCGTTGTCAGACCCAGCGCCTGTCTGCGGTGGCTTCCAGCCCTGGCTCTGTGGAACCAGACAGGGCCGCCTCCTGCTTCTGGCCACTGTAGCATCCCAGAGGTTCCACCAGAAACTGGATCCCTAGTAGCCAGATGTTCCCAGGACAGTCCGCTTTGTCTCTATAAATGAGAGGGTTTTGTTTTTTGGGGGGGGGTTTTCCTACTGCCCTACAGGTTCTTTCCCTTTATTTCTCTCTGTTCCATATTCATCAGGCAAGCCCAAAATCATATATTTAAACTTCTAGGAAAACAGACCATTAAGATGTGTATGGATGGTGGACACTGGGGTGCTAGTCCACTAGTTTAAGTCTTGGTTCTTACATGATTTGCATTTCAAAGGGCACACCACTTAACTCTGTTCTACCCTCCCTCCTCACCTCACTTAGGGAAGAGCTCGGTGCCCATGCTGACATGATTGGCTTCCCCATGTGGGAGGAAGGGGGGGCACCTTGCCATTTTCTAATGTTATTTTAAGGAACTTCTGTGCAAAGGTTGAATGCAGAACTCCACATGAATATGGAACATTAACTGTGAATAGATTTACCTGTGCTCTCCCAAGTACCATCTGACTAAAGGACCAGCTTTTCCAAGTCTACGAAAATAGTGGTAGACACAAGTAGAACTGCATTTTCACTAGGAATGGAAGTAATAGGAATTTGGGCTAAGCAGGGACCATGCACTTCTGCCCTCACATTCTCTCAGGTTGAGGAGAAGACCCTGGCCGATTGAGCCTTTGTCCTAGCTGGTCAGAAATAAGAAGAAACCCCAACCTTCTCATCTTCTGAAAACCAGCCAGCGATCTGTAGCTCTCTTTGCCTGTCCTGGGCCAGGATCCCAAGACTCCTCCAGGGTTCGCCAGGGGTGATCCCCAGCGAAAGAGTCACCCAGGCTGGGGCGGGAAGGGTGCTTAACAAAGTAGCAGCTGCCAGGGAGGGTTGGCTTGGCACCCACCACATGACCCAAGTTCTCTGATGGCCTGAGCAACAGGAACAACTCCCTGTCGCTTTTGACCCCAGAGACAGGTTTTTCTTACAGGGGGGTGATTGAGCTGGCAATTCAGGGTGTGGAGGCTTCTGGGGCACCAGTGCGGTGTCTGAGGACACAGTTTCTGGGTTGGGTTTGGTTCCACTCTAAGCTCTGGGCTAGTACTGCTTCTGTCCAGCAAGGAAGGACTTTTGCGTGAGTTGTGGATTGATCCAGAGTTAGGAGGGATTTAGAGAATTAAGTATGAAAGTGGTTTGGGGTGATTCAGAAACTTTCCGATGTAAATTTATCAATGAGCAACCTACTCAGTGGATTTTTATATCTCAGGGCCATTTACAGATCTTTATCTTTTCATATTTCTTTTGTATTCAAGTGGGCTGATAAGAGAGATGACTTCAAAGAACTCTAAGATGAGGTTCATTTCCCTCCATTTGAGGGTGAGTGGTGCACCCTTGCCAAGCTTGCTGAAGTCACTGTCCCTCAAGGCTGTGGCAGTGGGCCTTTTTCCTCTAACACTTGCAGGCATTCTTCCTGCAGTGAATGCCTACTTGCTGGTTTTCCTTCTGCCCTGAGCGAAGGGTCCAGAGTCCCTGGTCAGCCCGAGGGACAGAAGGAGGTGATGGCAGTTCACAGCAACTGCAGAGCTTGGAGCAGCTTCCCTCCTGCCATCTTGGCCTGGGGACTGTCTTGGCTTCTTAGCCCTTTGCGGTTGGCTCAGCGCAAGTAAGCTTTCTGTGTATGCCAGAGCCACTGACCTCCTTTCACTAGAATTGTTGTAAATATCTTTTGATGGGAAATACCAGGCTGTACTTGAAGCAACATAGAAACAAAGGTTCTAGTAGCAAGAGAGTCAAGTTCTAGGACTTTGTATACCAAGGTTTTTATGTACACAGCTCCAACACGTACTAGGAGGAGGACTTTAGTATATGTGTCTTTGAGTTTGAATACCCACTTTATGTTGAGTTTAAACATGAACTGGAAGAATGGCTTGTCTCTCCTGGCAGGGTATCTTCTGGCATCTGCCCACATCTGACCAACACGGATTCACCTGGGAAGGGATTCCTTTGGGACCAGATTCTTGTTCAGGTTCACCTTGGAGAGAATTACTACATAGACCTGGTGGGACTTGGGTGCCTTCCCTTTTTCTGGAAGCCCAGGCCCCTTGGTATACAGAGCTGGTCTCAGGCTCCCAGAGCAGAAGGGAAGGAATAAGGCCTCAGGACTTTTATTCCCCAGAGAGCCCCAGCCTAGCTTCCGATTTGTTAGCCCCCGTGTCTGAAGTCTACTGTGAAGGTGGAGTGTATCAGTCCATTAACTTCTCTTATTTCTGGAGTCTTTTAAATCTACAAATGTATATGCTTTATTTTATATTATTATTTATTATGTACATAAGCCTCTACTGTTAGTACATTGTGACTGAGATATTTTCTAGAGCCCCTCGTCCATGGAGCCTAGGGTTCTCTTGTCCCTTAAAGTGGCTGAGAAGGCAGTGGTTTTCTGTTTTTGTCATAAAGAGGTTGCTGCTCTTACATTGACCCTAGCATCCCTGCCCCCTCTTCTTTTTGGGGCCCGCCACTATTCCTGATGGACTAGTGTTTGGGTTGAGGAGGGAGGCAGGTCTCCTATGTTACGGCAGGGCTCTCAAGTACCTCTGCGAAATACTTTAGAGGTTGTTTCCTGGTGATGGGGTCTGTCCGCTGTGATGAGACCAGAGCCTTCTTCCTCACTCCCACCCTCCCAGGCCAGGTTGGCAAACTGGCCCCACAACAGTGATGGCCTCTAAATTCCCACCTTGGATTGCAGAATCCATCTCTCTGGACCATGGAAGCTGCCTCCCCATCTGGGCTTCTAATAGGCCTTCTCATGGTTTTGAGGCCCAATGCCAGCATTGCGTTGGCCCTGAAATAAGACCCTGCTTTGTGTCTGATTTTCATCCTCCTCGGCCTTGACTGTGTCATAGTGTACATTTCATGCTTCTCAGCAGTGAAGTTTTCTGAACACAGTATTCAGAGCTGTGTACATAAACCTAAAGCACAAATGACATGTATAGGTTTCCTGAGCTGATTGTCATAATGAATGCATTTTATAATTCAAACGATGTTGTAGATTTACAATCTCTCCTATTTATTTTGTACCAATTTATTTGTAAATTTTGTGATTGTTTTAAAAGGTTTTTGTTCATTTCTATTATTCTATTTAGATAAAGGATGATTTTCTGTTCACCCTTCCAGTGGATGTTGTGTTCCCTTCCTCCTCCATCTATACGGCACCGCCCTCGGTCCCCTTGCCCAATAGCACGGCTGTCCCGGTGAGAACGCTGGGGTCGTTTGTCAGCATGGCAACACAGCAGGGCACTTCTCTGGCCACACACCACAAAGTCTTCTGCGACCAGAGAGGGATGCTAGCCCCGGGCCTCCACCTCTGCCATGGAGTCTGGTACCACCGGTTCCAGGGGGGTGTTCTCCTTGGCAAGGAGGATGGTCCCGTCGGAGCATTTTAGTTAAGGACCCTGAGGGCATCCACTCAAATTGTCCCACACTTGCCACTCAGTCCCTAACAGCACACAGTTGAGCTGGGCAAACGTCCAAGCTGTCTCTTCCTAGGCAAGACCAGAGGCCTCGTTCAGGGCTCTCCGCGGGCTCTTGAAGAGGTCGGCTCCGGAGGTCCTCTGCTCTGCGAAGCTTAGGAGCAACGTGTGGTGGCGGCACAGGTGGTTCACTCTCAAGTCACAAACGTCGGGCCTGAGCATGGTGAGTCGTGTCCAGATGCTCTTGAGGATGCAGTGGGCATCCCCCTTCCCTGATAACCCAGCGTTGGGGCCCCCATCCTCTTCCATCACCACTGCCTTTTAGAGTCTTCTGGTTCCTTCTTACCTGCATCACTCAGGTGCTACCAGACCCTGCAGGTCTTCTGGTGTAGCTTCCCGGCCCCTGGGTGATTCATCCCCAGATCACGTCTTTCTGGAATCCTTTTCCCCTCCACTCTGTCTCTATTTTAAATTCACAGAGGATCGTGCTCTTAGGGACTGGTCCCTTATTTTCCCCACAGTTAAACCGTGGTTTAACCATGATACACTTGCCCTGTGGATGGAGACAGCTCAGTGAAGAACTGCTGGTGAGACTGGCTTGGAGACACGCCACCCTCCCCAGTCGTTACCCCCAATTTCTTCAAAGTAGAATGGGGTAGATCTATATTCCAGTGACGTGTTACCTTCTTGGGAGCCTGTCTGCTTTCCTTAGAAGCAGAGAAGAAAGCAACAAGCAGGGCCAGGGAAAGAATTCTCTGTCCAATACATCAAGTCCCAGCTAGCTATTTTGTTGTTTTTCCTGCCTTAGTCACTTTGTCTAGATGAGTCCTGAGTTCAAATCAGGGAATTCCCCCAAGAAAAGTAGAGGTGATTTTTCCTGCTGTTTGAGATTTTCCTAAGCTTTGTCTCTGTATCCGTGGGGTGCCCGTGTGTCCATTTGTCACGAAGCTTTATCATGAAAAAAAGCTCTGGGGTTCCCATTTCATACAAATTGTGCTCCCAGCACTTTTTGTCAACTCAGCACTTCTGAGGACACAGAGTGTGACCAGCCAGAGGGTCTTGTAGAAAAAAAATGACTGGTACGAACTGAATGACCTTTTCATAACCTGCAGTTGAATCCTGAAAACTTTATACTTTAGGAAAGTAATGCAAATTAATAGCAATAATTCTTTAGTAGAGCCAAAAAATTGAATTAGATTAGATGGCTAATAAACTCCTGGTTTTTCTGGGGTTTTTTTGTAAGGCTGTTTCATCATTTTCCCTTCAAGATCCTCACATCTGTGCTCATACTGTCACATTCCAAAACAAAGGAATGCTTTATGGGGCCCTTTCTCTGACATTCTAGTGGCATGCCGTCTCTCCCCCGGTGGAGGACTCTAAGGCCTAAGGATACAAGGAGGAAGTTGTAGGAGTTCTTCGTCAGAGTGCTTTTCCTGCTGGGAGATTCGGGATTGTGAAGTGCTCAAACAGTAGGCCAACGCAGGACGGGAATGTTTAGACTGAGCCAGCTTCCTTACTACAATTCTGCTACATCATTGACTTGAGGGCAGTGGGTCCAAAAATGAAGTTACTTGCTTCAAAATACCCATACCCACAAGTCAAAGATGAGAACCCTCAGAAAAGGACGGGATATTTAATAAATTTTTTTTTTTTTTTTTTTTTAAGTGTTGGAAAGGTTTTGCTTGGCATATACTTCCAAGTATCTCAGGAACTTGTGAGACTCAGAAGGCCTGTTGCTGTTCTCCATGGGAAGGATGTGCACTCGTTGCCTGGGCCAGTGCCTATGGTGAGGTTTATCTTGGCCCAGACTCTGCAGGCCTTTTCTGTAGCCCCGGCCAGACATGGCTTTAGGAAGAGCTTAGTGGGAGAGCAGACCATCTGGGGACCTATTTGTGCTTAATATGATTCATGAAATAATGTCTAATCCACCTTTTTTCTAGTAATAAAATGAAACAAAGCGATCTTAGTTCGTAGGAAGGAACATAGACCAGACCAAAAACTGGTTTAAATTAGAAAATATAAAGTACTTAGACTTACAGTAACAGAGTCAGCAAGCTTGAGAAAAAATGCTGTGTTCCACTGGGAAGACTTTTTTGTGCTAGAGGTCTTCAGAGGAACTTTAAAATACTGCATGTATTTTATTTTTGAAATTGCCTATCTTTGTTGCAACAAGTCCGATTGCTGTGGCTTTGGGATGGAGCTATTGTCTGACAACAGGGAAATGGGTGAGTTGCCAGGTTACAGAAAAAAGATGCGTTGTTGATTCTGTGAACGAATGCATTCTTTTCCTAGAGGACTTACTTTCTCTTTCTACCTACTCAGCAGTGAGAGAACAGTGTGAAATGCTTGGTCACGTTAGTGGAGGTGGAGGATGGGATGCTGTGGGTTTTACTGGAAGTCACCTGGCTCTACTTCCTGGCTGCTGGGCATGGCCTCCCTGCTGTTTGCTGGTAGTGTGTGTATCATTTTTCTTCTGTTTTTAAGGCTGCTTGGGTAGCTCCACGGTAGAGATTTCATTCTAAGGGCCTCCCAAAGTTGTGTATCATTTGAAATTGTTCCATTTAAGAAAAAAACGTTGAGACGAGCCCTATTCTCTAGTCACCAAGATAAAAATGTCATGAGAAACCTAAGTATTGAGATATAAACTTCTAAACCAAGTGAGGAATTGGGCCATTGATGGTATGGCAATAGCTGGACCATAGTTACCATTTTTCCCACCATCAAAGAAAGGTTAAATAGTTTCCATAACACGGAATGTGTACAAGGCTCCCACCCTTAATGCAGACTTAGATACGCACTTACTTGTCTTGAGCTATTTGTGGTGAATAAGAGTATTTTTAAATGCTCTGGCAGCCTTGGAAAAACTGCAGGGCTTTAAAGTTGTTGACAAAATATTTCTTGAATAAATAAATCTGATTTAGAAATATCTAAACATGAACAAAGTACTTTTAAGTCTGACATGTCACTGCAAGTGGCTTTTTAAAGTAGCTGCTTAAAACCAGTAACATGACTAAAGGATTTGTAGCTCCAAGTTATTCTAGTTCTATTAAGAGCCACTTCTAAAAGCACCTTAGAAAGGGTAGCTCGAAGGGCTGCTTTCTTATTTTAGGTCTCAGCAGAGCTATGCTTATGGTAGGAGAAAATTGAAGGTCTAACAGAACACTAAACTTTCTTGGCTTTAATTTTTTGAAATATACTGACCATCTTTGTAGAGATGAATGGGGCAAGTCCTCTTACAAAGGGAACCCAGCAGCGCTGGGGTCTGCTGCACCTGTGACCAGCTGCTGGGTGTGGCAGGGTCCCTGTCAACCCTGTACATGCCCTAAGATTGGGAGTTCAGTCTAGCACCCCAGAAGGGGTGTCTGGTGCTTTTCAAATGCCCAGGGAAGAGATTTTTGAAGAGTTGGGAAATCTGTGTTCTCATAGTCTAACATGCCTCAGTTCAAAACAAAAACATTAAGTTCAGCTTCCTTAACTGTTGGCAACAGAAAAACTCACTTTCATGTTTTAGCAAGCTCAACTACATCTGCCCCTGGACCGCCTAATTCCCTAGCACACTCTTCTAACAGGAATAATATGCAGAGAAGCAACACTCTGCTCTGGGTCGTAGATGCTTATGGAATCCTAGCTCTTTAAAATAATTTTGATGGTCCTGAAGAAAGCTCTGACCAGCAGTGGAATTCTTCTTCCAATTGTGTGCTTTTTACTCCTCGATCTTTGGATCCACTGTCAGACATCTGGAGAAAAAGAAACTCTTAAAAAGATAAGATCTTATGCAGATAACACAATACAAAAAAAAGTGTGGTAAATTAAAAGCGAAGTGTTCATGATGATCCTTGCTCTGAAAGGGAAAATATGTAAATGTACTATTAGAAGTTAGGCTCTATAGTTGTAATAAGTCCCTTCAAAATTATTTGGCTTTGAGCAAATTTAAGACTGTGTCAAACTGGGCAACATCTCCCATCTTGAGTGAGAGCTGGGGTGACCACAAACATACTCTCTAAAATGGGGACAGTATTTAAGTGCTATTTGCAATATTTGTAACCTGATTATTTTTATTTTTAGGATTTGAGGGAGCACATGCAAGTGGGGAGGAGGGGCAGAGGGAAAGACTCTCAGGTGGACTCCCCGCTGAGCATGCAGCTGGATATCATGATCTCAGCCGGAAAGAGGTAGCCACTCAACTGACTGAGCCACCCAGGTGCCCCAGTAACCTGATTACTTTTAAAGTAGCATATATTCCTAAGGGATACCAGTCTTAATGTAAAGCTCATATACTGAAAGTGATGAGGTAATATGGTCTCGGCTATGTTACTGAACTGTGTTCCCTTCCTATAAAATCATTTTTAAAAAGCCTTACCTCATAGTCCTGTACCAAAAAACGTCCCATGGAAAAGTTGTGAGACCTCTTTAAGTACTGGAACCATTAGTCATGCCAGACTGTATTTCCTTTAAGAGAATGTCAAACTGATGTCACTAGCCAAACCGAAACCCACCTGAAGACCAACAGTTAATTACAGTTAGGCTACAGGAAGGGGTCAGAGTCAGGATTAGAAATATTACACTTTATTGAATTCTAGAGCAGCTAATCTACCCTCTGTGTTCACCAGTAGGCAGAACGGAAGGAAGGTACGGAGGGTCAAGTACCAGTCTCCACTACCACTGGAACTACCGCAGGCCATTCTGCACTGTGAGGCCGTCTAATAGCCTCAAGTACACAGTAATGATCCATTCTTGTTCAAAACAACAAGAAGTGATTTCTCTTGGGATTCAGAATTTACTCCCATTGATTGTACCTTCAGTTCTAATAAGGTTCTGACTTACAGGGCCCTCTTCCCATCCTCTAAAGCTTGACTTTGAACTACAGCCGTCCACCCTAGAGGTTAGAGAAGGCTGGAACTCTGGATAGCATGAGCCACACTGGCTGGATAGCATGAGCCACACTGGCCCACACTAAGGAATTCACTCAGTTATGCTCTAATGGAAGAAGGAGATTCCTCCTTTTCACGGGGCTTGCTCCTTTGCCCTCTTGCAGCTAACTTCTTTCTATAGATTGATCCCAGATGAGAAAAAAAATTGTTTCTGATAAGAAACATTTCTGCTATCAAAAAAATGTAAGAAGAGATGAAGACTTGTACCTCAGAACAGAATCACTGCAGTGCATTCCAGACCAGCCCTATAGCAAACCAAATACTTGTGCAAGGCCGCTGAAGCCCCCAGTCTGCCAGAGGACACTTGAGAGCTTATAAAAGGAAACTTGACCTTAACAGAAGACTACATTTGATAATGGAAGCAATATATTTCTCCACTGATATACAATAATGTGTAATGCACTGAAAATTTCAGGATGGATTTTGGAGTAAGAGCACAATTTGTAACGTAACATTTTTGGATCACCTCTTCCCATCACCCTTGCTCCACTCTGGGACTCTGCCCCACCCGGGGTGTATCCAATACATACTGAGAATGAAACAAGACAAGGAAACAGTGTCACAAGCCACGACGGAGCCATCTGCATGCCGTTCAGCCCAGCTTTACCCTTACTTTCTTTCAGTACAGACTCCACTACAATTTGAACCATCTGCAAAGAGTGCAAACAAAACTTAGAATATTTTAAAGTCTTCAGAAACTTTCCAGATGTACCTTTGCCGGAGCTCCCCCACCCACCGCTAGAACCCATCCTTTGCTCCTCTGAGTCCTGCCAGGCTTGTTTAATGGGTGCTCAGTTTTGGTTTTCCTCCTTATTCTTCTTCCTCTTCCTCCTCTTCATCATCATCTTCATCATGGCAGTGTGTAATTTCCTGGGGGGCCAGTGGGAAGAGGTTGGGGGGTTTAATCTCACTAATCGACCGGGTCAACTGGTGCCGCTTGTAGTCGGTATCTTTGAAATCAACTGAGGTGCGGTTCCGGGTGGCAAGAGGGGACTCCATCTCGTTGATATCTACATGTGTATGTTCCACTGTTGATTCATGAGGCATCTAGAACAAAGTCAGAGGTTCAGAAAAACAGTTTCCTAAATCCTAACCCCTTCTCCTGCTTGTTAGGTGGCTGTGCAGAGGCCCACCCAATTCAGATACTAAAGCGTCTTCCTAGAACTACCTAAAGCTGCCTGTCTTTTTTCTCTTCTTCAACCCTTAAAGCTGTCCAGATCATTACAGCTGGAAACTAGAAAAGATGAGGGAGAAAGATGCTTAATTCACACCAAAAAAAAAAGTCCTGAACTATAGATCAGTATATATATCAGCACTACTAAGTAAGAAAAATACGGTTTTTATATAAACGCTAACAAAAGAGGAAAGTCTTCACTATTCAAACTTTTAATACGATACATTTCAGAGTAAAATTATACCCTGTAACATTCGATCTTGATCCTACTTTCTGAGAGATCCCTTTTGTGCAACCATGTAACCAGCTCATGGGCTTTTGCACAGTAGAAATGACAGACCCGGGAACGCCTGGGTGGCCCAGTCGGTGAAGCATCTGCCTTCAGCTCAGGTCATGATCCCGGGGTCCTGCTGCTCCCCCTGCTTGTGCTCTCCCTGACAAAATCTGAAAACATCCCCTGTGCCACCCACAAACCTGGTTGCAGATTTTAGCAGTAAGAGTATACCTTAATTGTAACTACTAGCCTAAGACTATTAACTCACCAAGACATGGGCAGCTCTAAAGAGGTAGCTGAAGGGATAGTAGAGCAGGTTGATGAAAGATGCTGCATAGAGATCGGCATACCGCATCACCTGACTGGCAAACAGGGTCTGCCGGGAGCCGCTGCGAAACAAGCTTCCCATCATCCCGTAGCACATGTCCATGTCATGAGTCACTTTCTAAAACAGACGAGAGACTGAATTCTAACACTGAGTGCTGGCTATGTGCCAAGCCCTATGTACTAGAAGAAATATAAAAAGCAAAACTTGATCTTCCAAGTTTCCTCCCCAATCCCACTTGGATACCTTGATGCGTCTCTGGATGGAGCTAATGTCTGGGCGCTCATTGCTGCTACTGTCAAGATGCCTGAAGACAAAGAAAACTCCACTGAAAATCTCCAGAAAAGACGTCTCCCCAACATAGGTGATTCCCGAAGAGGCAGAGGGCTGTTAGGGAAAACTTTTTTTTTTTTTTTGGAGGATGCAGAAACTTACTTGTAGAGTTCAGCCAAGAAAATATCCAAGCTCTGAAGCTCTTCAAAAAGTGCTAAAGTTTGAAGGGAAAAGAAAAGTGTTTTAAATGAAAAGCATTTAGCTTTTAATTGCTTGCCCGAACTCAATTAAGAGGCTGCTGATAGGACCAAAAAGTAAAGCTACATACAGGTGAGTGTACAAAATGACTTCCTTCTGCTTCAGGAAAACCCACTCCTGCCCTGGTTCGTTCTTTAACTGCCTGTCCTGCTAGTTCAACACCGCTGGCTACAACTCTCCTTTCCAAAAGGATACTGACTCTGAGCTTACAAAGCGCTAATTCGCATCCCATGTCAGGTGTGTCAGCAAACAACTGTTACCAGTTCCACTTTCAGATCCAAGAAGGAGGAGGAGGTGAGGTGTCCAGGGTCACAAGTCCAGGCAATAGAGCCAAATCAACTAGATCTACAGAATTTCCTAGGTGGAAAGTTGAAAATGGGGATGAAAGCTAGCCAGAAAGTCCCACTAAGGACAAGCAACAGCCAGTATCTGTTGCATGCTTTCGAGGTGTTCCAGTCCTTCTCAATCTGCCTTCGCCAAAGAGAATTAAGCCCTAATGGATCTACCGTATATGACAAATTTTCTTTATCTTTTTTGGGAGAACTGAAAATCATGCAAATCAATTTCTCTGTTCTGTGGCTCAGATGAGAAAGGCTGTTACTTGTATCTTCTTTATACACACATTACACCCCAGTTAAGTCTCAGTGAAGTAGGTATTATCCTCATTTTCACATTTGAGGAAACTAAAGCACAGGGGGTCCCAGTAACTTCGAAGGGCATGAAGATATTAAGTAGTAGAGCTGGGGTAAGCAGCTGAGGCAATACCTTTCCCCAAGCTGTGGGTGATGCTAGCAAGGCCTAGCTGGAGAACTACATGTCAAACATCTTTACATAACTAGACCTACAGGTCAATTCAGCATACAATTCAGAGAATACAATTTGGCCTCATTCTCAGAAGAGCAGGAAAAGAAAAAAAAAAGACACATTACCACTCAGAGCCATCAATGCCCCCAAATCACAGATACAGGCTCATGGCGGAGAGACTGGAACTAGTAGGTGTGGTTGGAAAATATGGGACTACAGAGGAAAGTGGAATTCACAGGTTAGTTGCTACAGTAATATAACTCAGGATAGCAACATTCTGTGCTTAACTGGGAAGGAATTCAAGAAGCCTGAACAAGATAACCTCCCCTATTTCCTCAAATTCTGGAGTTCTGTACCGTATACCTGGCTAGAGGGAAGTATCCAAATATCTCGGGACTACCTCTGTCCCTTTCTCCCCACACACAAAGTAATGAGTTTACAGCTGGCCCGTAGGATATAAAGTAAGAGTAATGGCTCCTTACCACTCTTATCAGTCCAGACATGCAGCTCCTGTGCAAGCTCAGGAATCACCAGGAAAGTTCGCCACCCTTGCCGTTTCTTTGATTTTAAAATGTCTCCAAAAATGTGATCTCCAATATACAAAATGTCCTTGCCCTTGGCTCCCAACAGATCACAGATTGTATCTGATGAACCTGAAATGATGGAATGAACAATGGGAAAACAAAAATGTCTCCACGTTAAAAACCAGCATTCTCGGTACCATAACCATTAAATACCGTTCTAATTTTATTCTTATGCAAGGAACAGACTAGGAAAAGGTCTCACCTTTCTTAAAGACCCACCACTGTTTTTCTTTCATCATTCCTTTCATTGCCTCTAAGGCAAGGCCTTCAGTTCCACTGTGCGAACCAGGGTTCTTGATTACCAACAAAAACCACATGTCTCAGCTTTAGTGAATATAACCCTCCAAAAGTACTACCGCCATGTCTCCTCAGAGATCTGACAATGTGGCTTTGTTCAATTGTTTCTCACTGCAACAAAATCTGCATATCTTGTCCATAAGGGCTCCCTGAGGATCCCTTTGAGAACCTCCTTAAAAAGGTAAAAGGATGAGGAAAAACAGATCCTTTTAGGAAAATCAAAGATTCATTAAGTTGGGGCGCCTGGGTGGCTCAGCCGGTTAAGCATCTGCCTTTGGCTCAGGTCATGATCTCAGGGTCCTGGGATCGAGCCCCGCGTCAGGCTCCCTGCTGAGGGGGGAATCTGCTTCTCCCTCTGCCCCAGCCCCTGCACGCACGTGCTCGCTCTCTCAAATAAATCTTTAAAAAAAAAAAACAACCCACAAAATTAGGTCATACTAACAACTTCTCAAACCCATTCTCCTGACTCCTATTGCATTAGTAGGTGACTGAAGCATTTACCTCCAGTAGACAATATCTTCAGAATACTAAAGAGTTTGGGTGGCACTATGCCAGGAGGACACCAAAGCTTTCACAAGTCTGAACAAAGACTTAAACTAAATGGAAATCTGCGACTCACCTCCTGAGTAGACGATGCCATGCTGTAAGGGGCCTGTGTAGGTACCAATTTTCAGCTTGCCAGTCTTCTGTGAGGAGAGAAGATGGACTTTGTAATAATTTATTGTTCAATCACAATTGCCACCCAAGATGCGATTTGGATAGGCAGCTAAATGAACGTCACTTTTGAATTATATTCTTTTGGATTTATTTGGCTATCTCAATGAATAGGTTTAAAACTTAGATTAAATTCAAAAGAAAGGTATGGCTAATAAGTTAAAAATACCTGTTTCCTTAGGAAGAATAAGAGTAGGGAAAGGAGAAATACGAAGGACATGGGCTAGCAGACAGCTCATCCTCTCGACTTACAGTATCCACCTGACGTAGTACTGTGCCTTCTCCAAAGAAGAGTGGCTTCCGTGCATCCACCAAGATCAGGTCAAAGTAGGATTGCCATGGTCGATGGGAACTCCCAGGCTGATGAAGATGAGAAAGAGCAAAAGCCAAAACATCACTCCTAACCTTGAGGCACTAATATTTAATCTCACTCAGATACAAGGAATGTAGACATATTAAGTATATCCAGAAGATCCCACTATTTTGTTAAAAACGTGTTTTATTATAAGCCACATTCTTTTGGAAGCAGCCAAGGTAAAAACATAAATTAATACATTTTAAATCATTTTATCAATTATTTCACAGCAACTTAACATATGAAGGAAGGTGTGCTCACACTCTGAAACGGGTAACAGAGGCACAAAGGGGCCCGGAGAGATGCAAATCAATACTCAAGAGACAGATTAAGAAAGAGGCAGATCAGCATTAGAACTGAAGTATACAAACTTAGCATGGAACTATTACTAGCAAATTTTACTGGTTATGTTCTCAGAATAATGGCTCTAGGTTCACATTAGCCTTTGGCTCATATTGCAGGCTTATCACAGCACTAACCTAGAAGCTATGCCCATTATTTCCATCCTGAAATGGAACCATGCTATTAAACTTTTAAGATAAGCTGAAGGGCAATGCATACTGTGCTTCTGAGCGATCTCAAAACAGATTTACTGATATTTACTCAAGCCTAGTACTAAAATCCCACAAGTATGTGACTAAGTTGCAATGAGTATTCCTTAAATCTAAGTGTAGTCCTATTGCAGGAATGAAGACTTCTCTAAATATCAAAGCTAACTGTTCTCTTGGCACAGAACTCAGCAGTAACTAAGAGCAATATCCAGAAGTTGTCAAGAATATATATATATATATATATAGGGCGCTTGGGTGGCTCAGGTGGTTAAGCGACTGCCTTCGGCTCAGGTCATGATCCTGGAGTCCCTGGATCAAGTCCCGCATCGGGCTCTCTGCTCGGCAGCGAGTCAGCTTCTCCCTCTGACCCTCCCCCCGTCATGTGTGCTCTCTCTCTCAAAAGAAAAAAAAAAAAAGAATATATATATATTTTCTGTTTCTTTTAATCAGATATCTTCCTCAACCTGAAAATTCCTATCTTTGCCACACAAACTTAACAACGCTACGTAATATTATTCTGATCCCATCCCACTAAATAACATGAATATCTCCCTTTTATTTCTACTTAGTTTTCAAAACTCTGACAATGTTATACTATACTAGCTCCTGCCTTACTTCTAATGTTAATGAAGATTTCTAGATGAGTTCTGACAATTCCCTTAACTTTCAATATTCCAGAATGAGTAAATGCATTCATTATTACTAAAAGCAGTGGTCTATTAAGTTATATATAGTACCTTGGGGCCATGCGGGAAATCAAACAGGTAAGTCATAATTTTCTGGAAAAAAAAAAATCCAACATAAGGTCCATATACTACTTTTGCAAAAGATATATAGCACCTAAAAACAAAACAAAACAAAACAAACCCAAGTTTTTCGTAAGACACGTCTTTTTCAACATAGGATTCATCACATTCATGTTTCCTCTAAGTTTATGAAATCATAACAGCTGAAGCCAGAAATTAATGCTTCATCAAACAAACAAAAGCTGACATTCTCAGTAGGACACAGGCTTCTTCTGGGACATATTTTTGTACACGTCATCCATATACCCTTACCCAACTCTCCTAGAGGACTGGAATATATACATTTGGAATGGTATCTGAGGTAAGGGCATCGAGAAAACTAATGACTCACATGGGAATAATATACCTTGGCCTCCTAACTATTGTTGCTAGATTAACCAAGCCAATGAACCATTAGATTTGTTGGCTTTGTAAGACTGCTTACTCCAGATCACATTTCTAAATCAAGATTTTACATAAAGAGAACTGGGCAGCACTGAGCTGCTTGCTAGTACTATAAATCTGTAACTGTCTTAGCAAAAGTAAGAGGAGGCCAAGGAGTTAAATCGGCTTTTCTACATGCTTTAACCATGGCAAAAAAAAAAATATTTTTTTTTTTTAAGTTATAAGGTAGTAAATTTTGATGGCTAAGAGTCAAAACATCCTTGCACCATCTATTGCTGTCTGGCTCCCAACAGCAGGGAGGGCATTTATAATAAATAAATGTGTGACTTCTCAAGTTTATATAAATGATGCACCAGAGAGACGCAGAAGCCATTTTAATCAGCACAAATGTTTTAAATAACCTCCAAATTAAAACCTTCAAGTAGCCAACTGTAATCAGGGAAAATAGTCAAATGAAATATTGAGAAAAATTTGAGAACCACTCTGAGGTAGCCCTTATGCTATATTTTTTCACTCTGCTCTCAAAATGAAATAGCAAAAAACTACCCTCACTTAACAAACTACTGTCCTCAATATGTTCACAGTTCTTTAGGCCAAAATTACTCCTCTGTATAGACAAATAGGAATATTAAGCACTTACATCTGTATATTTATAGTCACTGTTGGTGGCAAGGAACACTTTCCCTACTTCCTTCATTCGGCTCAGAAGCAAAGGCAGTTTTCCCTGCAATACAATATGATGATGAGTGAAACACTAAAACACAAATACATACTCACTTACACTTGGACTTTTGTCCACTGGAATAAGAATAGGGGATGCCCTTTAAGGGTTGGTTGGTTTCAGAATTTTACATTTAAAAGACTACATTATCACTATACATGAATTAAGTATTAATATATGTAGTATACATGGTATATATAATGTATAGGTTTATTTATAAAATTATACACATGATATGCTTATTAAAAACACCTCGGGACACCTGGCTGGCTCAGTCAGTGGAGCATGCGACTCTTGATCTCAGGGTTGTGAGTCTGAGTCCCACATTGTGTGTAGAGATTACCAAATAAATAAATAAATAAATAACATCTCTACCTTTCTCATGTCTGCCTCAGGAAAGTGTGTAAATTACTTTGTAATCTCAAAGTATATGAATGAGGTATGTAAAGGGTCAGGAAAAGCTGATTTTAAATATTTTATTTATGTTAGAACACATGCACAATCGCATGCACGAGCAGAGGGAGAGGGACAAGTAGACTCCTCCGAGCTCCATCCCACAACCCTGAGATCATGACCTGAGCCAAAATCAAGAGTCAGCCGCTTAACCGCCTGAGCCACCCAGGCGCCCCAGGAGGAGCTGATTTTACTTTTTTTAAAAGATTTTATTTATTTACTTCACAGAGAGAGATGGCGAGAGCAGGAACACAAGCAGGGGCAGTGGAAGAAGGAGAAGCAGGCTTCCCGTGGAGCAGGGAGCCCAACATGGGGCTTGACCCCAGGACTCCGGGATCATGACCTGAGCCAAAGGCAGACACTTAAGCACTGAGCCACCCATGCGCCCCAAGGAGCTGATTTTAAACATCACCAGCAAAATACTCTACATGGAGAGTATAAGATATGGCTTCACCAAGTATACTTTTATAAAACACCTTGCAGAATGAAATGCCACGTGCAGGATGCAACCTAGAAATGCCCAGACCCATCTGCAGATACCTGAGGAAATTCTAACTCCTGATGTGACCAGAAAGAAAAGCAGCTTTTCCTTCTCTCACAGTAAATAGGTTCCTTCACTCAAATTCTCCTGGACCTCTCCTGAACCCCTCAGTGTTCTCTCTTGAAACAACAAGAGTGGAAGTGGGAGTAGAGGGGAAACAGGAGATACAAAGACTGAAAACAGTAAGAAATCTGTACCAAAGTACTTCGAAGAAATATTGCATTCTGTTCTTACTCTGTGAGAAAAGGAAGAAGTATCTAATCTTGGAGCTGTGTATGTTTCCTTTTTAATTTTAAAATAATTCCAGGGACGCTTGGGTGGCTCAGTCGCTTAAGCATCTCTGCCTTTGGCTCAGGTCATGATCCCAGGGGCCTGGGATGGAGCCCTGCATCGGGCTCCCTGCTCAACGGGGAGCCTGTTTCTCCCCCTGCCTGCCACTCCCCCTGCTTGTGCTCTCTCTGACAAATAAATAAGTAAAATATTTTAAAAACTATAAAATAAAATAAAATAATTCCAGACATGAGGCGCCTGGGTGGCTGAGTTGGTTAAGCGGCTGACTCTTGGTTTCAGCTCAGGTTGTGATCTCAGGGTTGTAGGATCGAGCCCCACATAGGGCTCCGTGCTCAGCACAGAGTCTGCTCAAGACTCTCTCACCCTCTCTCACCTCCTCTGCTCCTCCCCCCAGCTTGTGGGCACACTCTCTCACTCACTCCCACATAGAAATAAACAAATAAATAAAATCTTCAGAAATAAAATAATTCCAGACTTACAGAAAAGTCGGGGAAATAGTACGTTCAATATATTCATCTAGCTTCCCTTAATATTCAGATCTTACATAACCATAGTACAATGATCAAAACTAAGAAATTAACATTGGTACAATTCTATTAACTAAACTATTAAATTCTATTAATTCTATTCTAAATTAAATTCTATTAACTAAACTACAGATTTTAAAAATCCTTCAAGGAATTTTAAAGCTTTCCTCATTATTCCCTGTTGATTTAATTTAAATAATCGTCACATATATGTACATTTTTTAGATTATCTAGTGCTCTGGTTATGATTTGGATCACATTCAGGTGTGACCTATGGCCTTACGCCTTACTAACTGTATGAACTTGGGCAAGTTATGTAACCTCTGTTCCTCAGTTTCTTTACCTATAAAACAGAGGTAACAATACCTACCCTCAGGGTTCTATGGAGATAAAATGGCATATAATCACTTAGTGATGTGCACACAGTAACTACTCTAGCTGCTATTATCATTAGAGCTAAAAGGACAAATGAAATACTGGATATTCTTGCCTATGAACAAACAGGAAAAACTGTACTAAGACCTAAGTTCTGGCTGAAAATTCCTGGTGATTATATTTGACATATACCAACACAAAGTCCATTGTCCTTGTCCATTTCATTATAAATAGGCTTGTTATTCATTTCCATGATTTGCATATCTATTTTCCCCTTTCTTACTTACATCTTTGACTACATATTTCTCAAGATTTTCAACTGTCTTTTCCTTAAGGGAGCCCTAGAGGAAGGAAAAAAAAGAACAAAATCAGTTTTTTAACAGTTTATAAGAAAAATTATGTCTACTATCAACCCAAATGCATTTAAGTATTTACCAAAATGGAAAAGTAGATAAACTAGAGAGGGCCATGATAAAGCAGCAGATGAGATTTGCTGCGACTCTGCCTCCAAAATGTATTTAAAATATAAAACTATTTTTATTTTAAACTAGAAACCAAAAGGAATTTCATATTTTATTCAGTAAGTTTATAGTAAATGTAATATTAACTAGTTAGTGTTATTAGTCAAGCAGAAGGTATTTGGAAAAAAACAGACAGCCCATAATCATCCTCAAAGAGTAGGGTTAAGTATAATCTTAACACTAAAATCTCTTCTAAGTTTGGGAAATATAAACTGAAATAAAAGCTAGAAGCCAAGCACTATCACTAAGGAAAGATCAGCATTACTTCTGAAAGCAGGACAGCCAAAGACAGGAACACAAATATTTTAGAGAGCTGTCACTAGGGGGCAAATCCATTTTTTATTTTATTTTTTTAAATAGAGGAAAAATTCTGCTCTATTTGCACTTGAAAAGTAAACGTCAGACCATAAAACACATGCCACAGAGTGAATAGGTGAAGCAGAGGCTCCTAGGTACCTTGTAATGAACCCAGTCGACAGCATCTCTTACATCCTGGAACATACTTCGGTAAGACATGAAGAGGTCCCCATCTTTAAATCCTGTTTCACAGCTATACAAAGATGAAAAGAACATGACAGGGAATCCAAAAGAGGGTAAATAAGATGAACATCAAACACTGCCCCAAGGACCCAAAGATTCCATTATCACATGGATAAACACTGTGGCTAATTAGGAAAATAATTACTCCCTAGTGAAAATCCATTTTGACCACCGGACAACTATAGTGTTCAATGGAATATAGTAATTGTGAACAAATATAAAGTGATAGAATAATATACTGAAGTGGAAGCCAAAAGGTCAGTTCCAAAAATATCATGTTCTTTTATTCATCACTTTTAAGAAACAGGTTCCCATCAAAGAAACATTTAAAACTTAAAATTGGTAATTTAGGTTCTCTTCATCCTGACTTTTCTGACGTCGTCTCTAGGTACAAAGGTTTGGCCTATTTTCTATTTAGCTTAGTGACTTGGTGCTCCACCAGATTTAGTGCCTTGAAGTAGATAAGGCCTAGAGAGGATAAGAAATTAGCAAACTCTGACACACATGGCTGAACTTCCAGCAGTGGTTATATAATTCCCCCTAAAAAAGGAGAGGATAACTTGTTCAAGACTTAAACACAATTTTACTTCAGGGAGGATAAACCATATTTACTCCTCAATCAAATCTCGCTGGGCCTGGGAGTAAAACTAAACTACCACACCTGAATGGCTCCTGGGCAGCTGCTGTGAAATGAGTTGGGGGTTTCAGTGTAATTCTGCTTGGACAGATAATCATCACACAAACCTCCCACTCAGTTGTCACAATTAGCACCTCTGCTGGCCGTCTTCATTCCCAGGAGAAGCCAATCAGAAGTGGTCCCTTCCAAACATGGCTGCAGCACACTGGCAAGGAGAGTGGGAGGTGAGAGCCTGCATGGAGCTGCTGGTGCTGTCCCATCTCTCGGGCTGGCAATGTGGCATCTCTCACTAGCACTAAATTCACTTCAGAAAAGCAGAAAAGACCTACAATGGCCAGTTCTCTAAAACCCTGTACATTAATTTTAAAAAATCAATCGGAAAGAGAAAATTATACCATATACATACCTGGTATATCTAGGACAATTAGTAAAAAAATCTACAAGGCAGGCCAACAGGTAGGTCTCTGAAAAATGAAGAATAGATATTCATAAGCTGTAAGTGAGATAATTCAAACTTATTTCATTAACTCCCTTGAGCAAAGACAAATGATCATGAAAAGAAGGGAAAGCATCCGTAATAAATAAGCACAGAATGAGTCTACCTGGTAGATTGAATAGTGTGTTCAGAATGTAAAATCTTTCAGTGTCATCTCGTTGGATAAATTTATTTGGATACTGCTCTCTAGTTTCTGGTCTGAAAGAAAAAACTTTAAATTAACTGATATTCAAGAAATGAACATTGTAATAGCTATCAGAAATTTCATCATTTAAAAATTCATTCAAATATGTTGGTGGCTACATTCAAGGAAGGGTTCTAAATATTACACATGAGTAGCTACGAAGATAAACAAGCTCAGGTTCCAGCCCTTAAAAAGTTCTCAGTCTGGTAAGGGAGGTGAGTCACATACACAAACAATTATCACCAGGTTAAAAAAAAAATCACAACGGCCTCAAGAGAGGTGCAGAGAGCTATGAGAAAATGGAGGAAGAGGGGACCATTTCAACTAAAGGGGTAGGAAAAAAGTGAATGTGGGAGTGAGGAAAGGGAAATCTAGCAAGGATTCATGAAAAAGGGGGCATAGGAGCTGGTCCCGAAAGGCTCAGTAGACCAATTCAAATACTAGTCCAACTGGAGAAGAGTGAGGGGAGCAGAGGAAAATAAAGCTAGAAAGATGAATTGAGGCAGATCATGCTATTGTTATTTTTCATTCAGGGGCAACGGGGTTTTTTTGGGGTTTTTTGTTTGTGTTTGGTTGGTTTTTGCCACTGACAGTTTCTAAGCAAAGGGATAAAACCATCAGAGCTGAATTATAAAAATATGCAACTAGTAACAGTTTTAGGATAAAAAGAAGAAAGAAATGTGATTATGTTGCAAAAATGGCTACAAATTCTCCCTATGCATTGTAATGTGTGACTCTGTATTTCCTCTGATTAAGAGGCTCAGTCTATTTCTCCATCCTCAAATACAGGCTTGAGTAGCAGCAACTAGGTATCCAAGCAGAGGCTTGGAAAACACTTGCATATTGGGGCTTGCCTACTCTTGCTGCACTGCACCTCTGAGACTACTGAATGAATGAGTGACATAACCTGCTGGAAGATAAAAGACTACATACAGAAATGAGGCCAGCCACAGGCTGCCAAATGCCAGACATGTGAGTGAGGCCATGCCAGACCAGCAGAACAACCCAGAACTGCCCAGATGACTCTCAGAATTTGGAGCTAAATAAAATGGTCACTGTTTTAAGCCACTAAGTTTTGAAGTAATTTATTATGCAGTAAAAGCTAACTGACACAAAGGACTGGGAAATCAGTTAAGTGGTTATTGTAGTCTTCCAGATGAGAGCAGGTGGGGTCTGTCCTAGAGTAGTGGCACAGGAAATTAAAGGGAAGCGTTAATCATGAGAGACTGCCAAGGCCAAGACCAGGCAACTGACTGGCTGTGGCAGATGAGGGACATGAGAGTCAAAGATGATGATGCTCACATGAAGGTGTCCCTGAGAGGGTGGTGGTACCCTTAATAGCAATATGAAAACTGGATAAGAAGTAGATCTAAGAGGAATTCTATTTTGGATACATTAAGTTCAAAGTAAACAGATTTTTATAGGCAATTAGTAATAAAGGTCAAGGACTTAAAACAGAGATTCAGACTTCAGAGAGAACTGGGGTCATCTACACACAGGTAACAGATGAAGTCATGAAGACTGTTACAGTAGATGAGGTAACAGATGAAGTCATGAAGACTGTTACAGTAGATGAGGCCACTTGCAGTTCAGAGGAAAAAAAGAAGAACAGACCCATGGAGGACATTTAGGGTTAAAAGGAAAACCAGCAAAACAGATAAAAGTTGTTAGAGATGCCCAAGAACCCTGGAGAGTGAAATGAAACACTCCAAGAAGAGGAAGGGGATAGAATTAATAAAAATAGTACAGAGAAACCCAAAAGAAGAAAAACTGAAATATAAAAAGGCACAATTCTCAGGGCGCCTGGCTGGTTCAATAGGTGGAGCGTGCGACTCTGGATCTTGGGGTTGTGAGTTTGAGCCCCACACTGGGTGTAGAGCGTGCTTAAAAATAAAATATTTTAAAAATGCACAGTTCTCACAATGAATATACAGAGATTAAGTACTCTAAAGGACATCAAATTTAAAGTTCATATCAGAGTAATCTGGGTAAATTCCTACTTGGGTCTGTTAACTACCAATGGCATAGACTCTAGTTAGGAATAGAAAATCATATTAGCTCCCGGTCTTAGTCACCTTCTGAAATAAGAGTTCCCAATAAGGAATAACTACATAGAATATCTCATTTTCTAGCCTTCTAAGGTTTTCTGTAATGAAGATTAAGGTGGAAGGGAATAGTAATGATGTGCTTTCCTCAGTCAGGTTTAGTAAGATGACACTGTCTCCTTAGATACACTTTCCTATTCCCTCATTGTTAAAGAGTAATTCTTTTACATAAGGATAGTTAACAGTTATTAGGCAATTAGAACCAAACTGACTTACAAATTTAGTTAGCAATGACATTTTGTTTAAATTAAGAGCCAAATAAGGCTAGGGGCGCCTGGGTGGCTCAGTCGTTGAGCGTCTGCCTTCAGCTCAGGTCATGATCTTGGGGTCCTGGGATTGAGCCCCGCATTGGGCTCCTTGCTCAGCAGGGAGTCTGCTTCTCCCTCTCCTACTCCCCCTGCTTGTGTTCCCTCTCTCACTGTGTCTCTCTCTGTCAAATAAATAAAATCTGAAAAAAAAAAAAAAAGGTCAAATCAGGCTAGCATATATTTAAAATAAAAATTAAGAAGGAAGGAATGCTAGACTTGGAAGTTGGGGGGAAAACAGTAACAGTACAGAATACTGCTAACTTTCTGTGACTTGCAGAATAAAGATTTGATCTCAATATTATCCTACTCTAAAACTTTAAAGGTCTTTGCCATTGTCCAAAAAAGAGGCCCCAACTCACTGGCAAGGCACGTAAGGTTATGCCTGATGTGGCCCTAACCTCCCTTCCAGCCTTGTCCACCAGTATTGCTTCAATAGCTCACTTTCCCTCTCCCTCCATCCTCAATCTCTCGTTTTCCACAGGCTTTTCCTTTTGACTCTGAAGACTGTACAGCATGTGTTGTCTGAATGATTCTGCATTACCCGTAAATGGCTTATTTTTTAAACACTACTAAATGTACTTCCAAAGGAGCTATTTGGAAACTTTATGGGTTTATTTGAGGAAAGAAAGAAGGTCTGTGGATCCTGAGTTAGTAAATCTAATTGCAGTACTAATTTATAGAACTTCCCTTCCTTTTCTTCTAGAACTACCCCTTCCCCATAACACAAAAACCCCTTTCAGACATTAATAAATAGAACCTCGGTTTATCTTCATTGGAATTTTGAGTTATGGTACAATAACCACATATAAAATAGCTTACGTTGCTAGCATTATTTGCAATAGCTTTACATTCTAATCCTGTCTCCTGATATTCATGAATCTTGAACAAACCCCTCCCTCATGAGAGGAACAGTGAAAGAAAGGCAGATATAATCACAGGCCTGCCCAGATGTGTCAAGATGGGGTATTTACTTCACACTGTTCTATGTATACTTGGAAATCTTCGAGCTGGAAAGTCTTATATCAGATGCTTCACTTCCAAATAGGGCATTGCTGTGACCTCAGATTTAAAGGATACTCTGGTACAGTTAGTTTGTGCTTATCACAAAAAGTATTTACCAAAAAGATACTGTCTCTTTAAAAGTTTCAATGTGGACCATGTGGTTTTCACTACTTTGCCTTTGAGAATAACATATAGAAGAGTTATGAGAGACTGACACATAATCTATTTTGGTTTTAAGAGTTGCTCCGTCCCTGGGGCTCCTGGGTGGCTCAGTCGTTAAGCATCTGCCTTCGGCTCAGGTCATGATCCCAGGGTCCTGGGATCGAGTCCCGCATCCTGCTCCGCGGGAAGCCTGCTGCTCCCTTTCCCAGTCCCCCTGCTTGTGTTCCCTCTCTTGCTGTGTCTCTCTGTCAAATAAATAAATAAAATCTTTAAGAAAAAAAAAAAAAGAGTTGCTCCATCCCTAATGCAGTGTCAGTAGTAAATTAGGTAGTGAATAGTGGAGAAAATGTACAACTGTAAAGCCACGACGACAGAAAGTATCAAATTGTGGTATTGTGATTTTTAAAGAAAAAATTGGGATGTTTCACCAAAGCAGTAGACACTAAATTTTATCTGCTGTTTACTAGGGTGGAAAGTCCAAATTAGTGAGAATAGTGGAAATATTCTGATTATTAAAATAAAGCTTACTCTTACTTGTTTTAAATATTATCACCCTTATTCATTTTTAACCCATGTTTTTAAAAATTTTAATCACATGACCAAATATCTGAAGCTATTCATTAGATTAAAAAATAATATGTTAGCTATTAAAAATCTTAGCATTTACACTGTTGTAGTTTCAAATTTTTCAAAGCACTTTTATATACATACCTCTTCTGAGCAGCTACCTGAGAACTGTATTAAAAAGGAGAAAATAAAAATCTTAGAATTTCAAATAAGTCAAAGCTACTACAGTTCTTTTTGGGCAAGTTTCAAGATTAGCTTTGTTGGATGCTGTATAATTAGAAACCACTTAATTTACACAAAATACAAATGCTAACTATATTTATAAGTCAGTTTGGGTCCTAACTGCCTGATAAATAATTGTTAAGTATCCTTATGCAAAGAATTGCTCTTTAATGATGAGGGAACAGGAAAGTATATTACATCTGGGGAGACAGGTGATCTTCATATTGTTTCACTATAAAAACACTAGAAAGAGGCTAAAGGTTCTATGTACTCACCCTCTTATGAAGTTAAATCCATGTGCACAGACCAAAAGGTTTCCATAGGCATCAACTTTCAAAAGATTTCCATATAGTGTATCAAAAACAAGTCCCCTATGTGAAAATGAAGACATCAACAGTAATATAAAAATAATACAGGCAACAATCTTATGTAGTATTATTACTTAGTCATGATAAACCAGTGCCATCTTATTCAAGCTTTATGACAACTCAAGCATATCCCCAAACAATATAATCCTGGAGGCTGGAGTGAATAAAATCTTAAAAACTAAACCCAGAGCAAATAAAAGTATTTACTCTGTCTAAACAATCACAACTGTTTTCTGTAAGGAGTAAGAGCTTAAACAAGGTATGAACTATAATTCCTCTTAATACAGTGGTTCCATTCTAAAAGAGTCTTTTAATTTCCTTGGACAAATGAGCTGGTTTATATTTTCCTCTAATAGATGCTATATATGGGACATATAATGATGGCATCTCAAATACCATTTTCTTAATCTTAAATCTTCCCTATCAAATCCAAAAATGCAAACTGCCAACAGGGCTCCTGATGACCAAGTGAAGTGTATTAGTAAAGCAGGTAACTGCTCTCCAAGAGCAAAAGGTAGGAGTATCTGTGATTACTGCCCATCAGTTTTAATCATCTTTCTTCTTTCCCATAAATAGATCTTCAGTAACAATAACTAAGCTCAATTCAAGAAGAGAAAAGATACGGTATACGTGAAAAGTCCATGGTAATTTTAGAATCAACATCAACCAAAAAAACAACCAGAAATAAACCAAAGAATCTTTTTTGGTTCTTTTCTTTGAGGGTGGGCATGGTCAGAGATACATTTGGAATTATTAATTTGGGGGATAGAGGGAAGGATTTTAATCCAAAAAAATCTTGAAAAATTACCTGGTAGGGAATGCAGAATCATAAGCAAAGCTGAGCAGTTCCTGAGGGTAGCCAATAGAAACTAATCTCTCCACAGTTAGCTCAAAGCCAAGGGATTCATACTCCGGGGACTTGTACACTGTACAAAGAAGAGGTTCTCATTATAATAACAGTCACTGAAAATAAGGACAAATGAGTGAATTTCTACTCTTTCCCAACTCTTCCCTCTTCCTAAATATGCCATTTTCTTCTCGTCCCTCAAACTCCATGTTTTGTAGTGCCCCGAATAGCCACAGAACTCAACTGTTAGTCTGTGGAAACAGGTCATATTTTCATAGGAGCAAGAGCAACAAGAATTATCAGACATTTCAGAATAATTCTTTCATTTCTTAGGAAAACTTAACATTTTTCCCTTTATCTGTTCTTTCATGCCCACAATCTCAAGGCAGAAAAAGGAACTATGCACAGCTGTGATATTAACCAGGTAGAGAGGTCTATATATGTTGAAGGCTTCACTGATGTGTACAATTGGTGTAGGAATCCTTCAAAATGAGCTTTTAAAAAAAAACCAATTTTTACAATCCCTATTTGGCTTGGTAGTTGCTTTATACTCCTTCTCCAATCAGCATATAATTCTGTTTATCAGGATTCACTTGTTTTCTTATCAGCGCTAACAATAATATAAAGCCATCAAATTTGCATTTTAAGTTATTGCTGCAATATCAACCATAAAAAGACATGTCTGGGACAATTAGGAAAATCTGGATGTGTACCGGGAATTAGATATTAAAGAATTATGACTGGGGGTAGGGAGAGGGAGAATTGGAGGAAGGTGATCAAAAGGTACAAACTTCAGTTATAAGATAAATAAGTACTAGGGATGTAATGGACAATATGAGGACTTTAGCTAACACCACTCAGGAATGTTAAGAGAGTAAATCCTAAGAGTTCTCATCACAAGGAGAAAAAAAATTTTTTTCCCTTTATTCTTTCTTTTCTTTATATTTTACGTATATCAAAAGATGGATGTTAGCCGAAGCTATTATGGTAATCATTTTCCAATATATGTAAATCAAACCACCATGCTGTATGCCTTATTTTTTTGTATGCCTTAAACTTATACAGTGATATATGTCAATTATTTCTGAATAAAACTGGAAATACACATTTAAAAAAGAATTAGGACTCATTTTATGAGATGTGATTATAGAAGGATGGGTATATGCAAGTGTATGTATAAAATATATATATATCCTTACCTACCAAAAAAGCCTACTGAGTTTGTTACAGGTGAAATAAAATGGATTTTTTAATATGGGGGTTTCTTTCTACTATTATGTATCTTTGAAATATTCTGTAATAAAAAAACTTTTTAGAATCATCACTGCAGTTCAGCATAAAGAAAATGTTGCTCCTTTAAATAGGTTTCCTCCAAATGCAATATTTAGGTAAGCATCTTTCATTCAGTCTCTAGGAGTGGGTGAGCTGTATTAAAAAGACAAATAAAAAATAAAAAGACCTTCAATCTTGCTAAATGCCAAATGAGGCAAAAAAAATCCATTCATTTTTATCTCACAATAATGCAGTTGTTGTTGTTGTTATTATATTACTGTTCTTCTATCCACAATTAATAGTCTATCGCTCAAACTGATTTTTCACTGCAATTAGTCTGCCAACCCAAATTAGTGCTAATATGTTAATGAGTACTATTCAACTTTTCCTTGCCAAAAGCCATCTTTTAGAATATTTCTGGAACTACATAAAAGAAACCAATAATACTGGTCACCTCCACAGAAGGGACCTGAGTAGCTAAGAGATGGGGAAGGAAGTATACTTTCATGTATCTTCTGTACTTTTACAACTTGTAACATATTAATGTATATATGTTATTTTTAAATTAAGTTGTAATGTTAAAAAAGCAGGGTGAGCTTTCAGAGTCTTTTAATAAATATTTGTCGTATTTAAAAAGCCTAAAATTTTTAAGGCCCTTTAGGAGAATGAGGCGCTTGAGTCTCATCTCCTCAGAACAACGCCAAAAGTAGCTGTCATTTCTTTGTCATCTCAGGGGTAAAAATACTCTAATGTTAATGCTACACTAATATTCTCAAAACCAGCTATATATCTTCTCTGTTCAATTCCATACCCATCATCACCCTCTCCCACCAAAAAAAAAAACCCCCAAACAAACAAAAAAAAAAACCCCTTTTGGAATCCAAGAGTGTGGAATTCTTAAATCTAAATGATGTACACTGTGGTAAAGGAAGTGCTTGTATGTTCATACATACTAAAAGAATAAGAGCTGGTGTATTATAATAAAACCAGGAAAGTAGTATTGACTGGTGTCAATCTGAATTATTCTGAGAATATAAAATAATCTCTCTCACCCAACACTGTGCTTCCACTCCAACTTAGAGTAAATCTCTTTTAACAAAATTTCCATAAAACAAAAACTTTCTCAATCCTAACAAAGACCCACTTATTTCAAACAATATTTAATGAAATAAAATTCCAGTATAGTTAAACAATTTGGATAATCCACTGACATTCATTCTTACAGGATTTGGCCCATACAAAATATTCTCAATTACTAATTTTTTTCAGAAGAATAATTTGCTGGATACACCTTAAGAATGGGAGTAAAAAAACCCAAACAAACCTTAATCAGCCCCACCCAAGCTCACCCCTAAATGAGCCATTTTCCCTAGTTAGAGATCAGGTAATTATAGTGATGGAGTAATGGTGATTAAAACCTGTGTTTTTGAGACATTTTGGATTGAAACCCAAATCTAATCCCCATTTTGCCAGCACAAACCCTAAAACAGCAGAAAATAAAACACTATACACTTGCCACATTTATCTTTATTCCAGGACAGAACTTCCCAAGTGTTCAACTGAAGTGACTTTCTAAATTCCACCTACAGAAATAAATACTTTAAATTTCTTTTTACCCAAAGAGTTTAGGGTACTTTCTAAAAATACAATGTATTTTCCCCATTTGCTGACCTGAAGTTACATAGCAAGTACAAATGTAAACTTAAACCAGAATTTAGGGCTCCCTGAGTCTCATCCAAAGCTCTTTGTGGAGGGATATACTACCACTGTTAAAAATGAATGTCTAGATTACATAGGCCACCAAAACTTAAGCCTAGGTGTGGAAACACACTACCCTCCCTCCAGTTTCTTTCACCTAGTCCAAAATAAACTGCTCTAGTCACAGGGGGGAATGGATTTAGCAAAGAGAGTTCAAGTTCCACTTTGACAACACTATCTATTTCACTAAGCTCTATATTAATCAGTTAGACCTACAAGCTATTGACATTTTCTCATAAGCTTCCCGGATAATCATTTCAGTAACACGCATTCCCAGGTCATTAAGTCATCCGCTAGAGCACTATACAGTACAAGCAAGGCTGGAGAAGCAGAACCGTAGCTGCACAGATCACAAGTTTAGATGTTTTGTTCTAAGTGTCTCTTGGGAATGAACTGAATAGTCACACTTTGTTCTGACCTGGTAGCAAAAATGACTAGTCCCAAAGCCTACAAAGTATCACCATTCCTTGAAAAATAAATAAAAGCAAAATTCCTTTTTTTAATTACCAGGCCCTTCAAAGTCAGCCTTGATACCTGTGGGGAACCATATGCATCACCTCCGACTGTATGGCTCTAGGCCTCTCCACAGCTGCAAAGGCTCTAATTTCAATTTCTCTTGCAAAACTGGCAAGTAAATGATAACTTCAAGCTCAATTCTTACAACTGACTTTCCAAAACACAGCCAAAATAGGTTCAGAGTAAGCATAACCTCACACATTCACTGCTTATTTCTTCTTCAAAAAAGTCCTCAGGCCTAACCTAATTTACCCAATGTTCAAAGACAAAGGAAGAAGTTATTTCAAGGGCCAGAGTCCAAAAAAGAGGAGAGCTTCAGCCACCAGAGCAGTACACGGTGTTCTCGGGTTACGTAACTAGACTATAAAGAGAACCACCAAAGCTTTGAAAGCTGAAGCTACTGAGAGCACTTAAAGATATTCTTTACTCCATAATCTGTAAGGAAAACACAGTTCTCCAAAAAATATCAACTATGTGTTGTGGGGATGAAAGTTACAGGCTCTGTTTTGAGAAATGTTGTGCATACAAGATAGAACCTATGTTAGAGGAGACCGTCTCTGAAATGAGCCAGGATCTTTCTGCAGGGAAGTCTAAAATTCTCATGCACTTGTTACCTTTGCCACCAAGACACACTGTGTATAGTAGTTTATAGATTTTAGAAAAAGGAAGGGCAAACCTCTACAGAGGTTCCAGCCTAGCAGAGTGTTGCTGCCAAAATGAGAACTCACATGAGGCAGATGCAGATGCAGAGTGTCACTCCAGTCTTGAAGGAGTTACACTGGCTCTCCTGTTAAAAAACAAAACAAAGCAACAAAACAAAACAAAAACAAAAACAAAAACTGGTTTTAAAACTGTTGCGATGGGCTGGAACAGAGAGACACCATTTGGATATTGGTATTTACAGGAGTTACTGCCCTCCTATTTAGAAGCCTCTGACCATCACTAAAATTCGTCTAAATGGCCATAACAAAACAAGGGTATTGAAGATAAGCCTAAGTGTTGTGCATTATTTAAATATTCTGACACCCTGAGCCTGGAATATAAGCCAAGTCTGATCCTGAAATATTAAGTTAAAAGATAAACAGAAAAATAAATTTATTTTGTCTTAGTTTATTTTCTCTAGCACATTTCAGGTTTATATGACAGAAACTGAATGTAGCTGGTAAACAATATTTAAAATTGAACTACAGTAAGTGAAACAGGCTAAATAAGGATACGAGAATAAACCAGAGCAGTCTCATCTTGCTGTTAAGCACCCATGTTCCTAACTACCTAATTTTCTACCCTTCCAACACCTAAATTTGTCATCTTGTTACAGACAAGAACCAACTTCACGCTGCTAAAAATCTAACCAGATGTCTAAATGTGGAATAGAAGCAAAACTTTATTTTGATTCTATCAGTGGTATCTGCCCTCCTAAGCAGGGTCTTACTATTATAGTCAGAGAAACTACCTAGTCTAGTAAAATAACTGACTTGAAGATACATATAAGGTATTGACACTTTTAAGATATGCACTATGTTTAACTTTATAG